ACTGCTACTCTTTACAGGAGTGGAAAGCCTCATCCTTCTCCCTTGGGATGGCTGCTGGTTTCGAACTGCTGACCTGGCTGTTAGCACTCAAACCTGTGCTGCCAAGGATCTTTGAAGAAAGGTAATTCATTGTGAGAACAAACTTCCCCCAAATAATAATGCTAGCACCTACGTAGTTCGAGAGTTATGGAATATTAAAAATACAGATAAGAATTGAAATGTTTTGCATTTTACAGGAGGACACACCACCAATGCAGGGCTTGGGGTGCGGTGAGCTGGGGAAGGGGTGTCAGCCTACCTCGGGGGCGATGTAGTCCGGGGTCCCGCAGAAAGTGTTTGTCCTCGCATCTCCCAGCATATTTTCCTTGCACATCCCAAAGTCCGCGATTTTAATATGCCCGTCTTTGTCCAACAGGATATTATCTAGCTTCAAGTCCCTGAAAGAAAAGCAAAGAAGCCTCACTATGAGGGAGTCCATGTGATGGACAGAAAATGACCCCCGGTGAGCCTGTGGAAGCCTGGCTCGCTCTCTCCAGCGCTGGTCTGCGGGCCCTTGCTCTTGACTCCTGGGGGTGGGGTAGGGCACGTGGTTAGCCTGTTCAGGGTCTGTCTCAGATGGAGGATTGCATCCTCCCTGGCCAGCACAGCACTTGGCACATCGTTGGAGCTTCATTTATATGCCTGTACCAGCTGATTCAGCAGTTAGTGACAGTCCTTACAGGTGCACTGGGGCAGCATGGTCACAGCAAGGGCTTCCAGTTTGCCACCAGCAGCCTCCCTTCTCCCTCGTGTTTTCCTAAGCACAGCTCTGCCACTCCCATCCTAACCCCTAGTTGTTTTTTTTAATGTGCTACTTTAAAAATGAGCATCATGCTCGTACCAAAATACCTCCTTGGGGAAGAGAACACTTGGCAAGCAAGCAGAAGGTGTTATTTGCATAAAAATGGGGGTAATCTCGCTCCTGTAACATTAATTTTAAGAGAGGCCTTCAAGAAGTAGTGTCTGATGTCAACAAAGTGCTAGTGATGAAATGCTACCAGAGGCTCCCATGTGCTGGTCTGGGGGGGTATCTAAAACTCCCCAACAGGTATAGTCAGAGCTCGGCTTGTATGCAAGGCTGGAGTACAGACAGAGCTAATCTTTCAACAGAATAGCTAGCAGTCACTAGTTCCTCTTCCGGACCTAGCAAGTAGTACAGTTAAAGATATGGTTGGATGCGAGCTTAAGTCTGAGACTCCTTCTTCCACTACCCTTTTTGGTGGTGATGGTGAGGGAGAAAAGTTCCCCCAATATATTGAATTTATGGTATTTTCCATATCTCATTCTGTTGTGCACAGGATCGCTGTGGGCCAGTGCTGACTTCATGGCATCTATCAATAATAATAACCATATTATCTATAGACTTCTTTTTTTGTAAATAAATTATTTATACTGCATCCCATTCTAATACCAAGTAAGGATGTGTTTCCTAGCTAGAATAAATAATTCTATATGGCAATTCTAAATAAGATATGGTAACACCTACAGTGAAAAATTAGAAGTATAATATACATCTAAAATATACATATATAATGTATAAAAATAAAATAAATACTGTAAGGAGAAATGAAGTCTTGATACATGCTGCAGCATGAATGAACCTTGAGATCTCATGCTGAGTGAATATCAGTCACTCAGCAAAG